TTGACGGACAAAGTGCTTTAAATGCTCGGCAATAGTAAGGACTAGATTCATTGTGTTTCCGTATTTTGTTCAGGTGAACAATTGACTTGTCCTCGCAGGTGTTTGTGACGGGTCCCAGCTATGTTGGAGGATACGCTCACCTTTTCATTAACACCCGTTATTAAGGCCTGAACCGCATCGGGTTTTTGTCCATCAATCTGATACGACGTGATGTAATTGAAATACTGTTCAAAGTATTGTTTAACTCTCTCGCGGTACTTTGCGTTACTGCAACTGTCAAAATTATGTGTAGTGATGTTATGTAATCCACAAGATGACTAGCAGACTACGCATATATAATGTTTAAAAAAAGAGAGAAATAAGAACATTAGCACAAATAATTCGACTCATCTTGTAATTATACGAGTTTCAAGATACAAAACTGCAATCGAGTTTCTGAAATTTGATTGCATTTAAGTATTTATCTTTCTTGCTTCAATCATATCTACAACGTAGTTATTACTAAACAAAGGCATGCCTTTGCAGCTCAGTATGATTCGGTCTACTTTCGCCTAGAAATAGTGATGTGGTGTGTTATGTGAAAGAAAGTCAAGAATTAAATATCTTGTAATAACATTGAGTAGAGGACACGGTTAGACTCAGTTATCAATATCAAGATATTTATATAATTAAAATTCAAGTGATCTAAAACAACAAATAGCTATATAGTTATAAGGGATTTATAAAAGAAACTACACGGCCTCCTGAGTGGATTCCAATTGTTGTTCAGTAACACTAGACCTCTGATCACACCAAACTCTAGAATTGCCAAATGCGACAATCAAGTTAATTATGTAACAGACTTTCTTATTTCAAGATAACATAAAACGAAAATAGACATTAAGTCAATGTGTAAACACAGGTTGTACTGGCAAATGTACCACAATCTATCGACTGGATTTTGATGGTTTTCTGTGCAATGTGAACTTCATTGGAGTTTGTTTGTATGTTGTTTAACATCGCACTAAGCAATATTCCAGCTTTATGACGGCGTCTGTAAATAATCGAGTCTGAACCAGACAATCTAGTGATTGATATCATGAGCTGCGATCCACACAGAGGCTGAAATGTGTCTTGAGGAATGTATTTGTCAATATTAACAATAACATTTTATGCTGTTAACGACATTGTGTCTCTCATAACCCACTCAGTATTATGGGACTTGTCTTCGTTTTTGGGGGTATTGTACTCTATTTTTAGTTCGCAATGTAACTGAAGGGGTTAAGCTTTTATTAACATAAATCACTGGAGCATAAGGTTGTTTTGATAACACTGAAAGCGAAATGCACTGTAGGCGGATGTAGACGACGCACTGATGCAAAACGTTATGAATAAAGTTGTTTTGATAACCCTGTAGGCGAAATGCACTGTTGACGAAAGTAGAACCTTCATAGAGTAAGGGCCAAACTGTATGAAGGTCAGAGCGTTCATAAAGTGAAAGTCAATTCTTATAATTTTTCTATCATTATTTTATGCCTCGCAGGATGTAGCGCTAGATCTAGACTTCTTGTCTACACGGACAGCCATGTATCCTCAACTTACTTTTCAGGAACATCTGTTTTAGTTTGTTTCCTAGAAATGTATTCCTATAATATCCCCATTGGATGAGGAAGGTCTGTTAAGAACTACAAGTCAATAACAACGACAGAGCGTCGTAATACATTTACATAAAGTACAAGACGTCAAAATGATCGACATGATAAACGTGACGGGGGAGATTTGCGAAGTTGTTCATGAACCTGTGGCCATTTCAAGTGTTAGTTATGACTTATCAGTTGACCGAGCATTGAAAGGCGATTGTAACGATGTGTCAAATAGATACTAAGGTACATTCATAGATTGCTGTATACCGTCACAGCGCAAGTTTGGATGTGCTTTTCTTCGTTTGTTCTCTAGGATGGGTTGTACCGAGGATCCCCTTGAACGGGCATGCATTCAAACTCATCGACGTATCCCAATGTATGCTAAAACGCTAAGTTCAAAGCAAAAGGCTAAAAATGATGAGAAACGACGCTTCTGTATGTAATTAGTGCTAGGGGATTCTCATGGATTTCTCTAAGGTATAGTCCGTCAGTGTTTACGTCATTTCAAAAATACAATTCCGTGACACACGTATGGACGTCAAGATGAACATGAACATGAACTTCAGTTTCGCAGACATGTGACCTACCTCTCATCCAAAGAAAAAAGCCGTACATCGTATAACTTCACACTAAAACAATATTTACTGTTATAACCAAATGAAACACAACCCGGTGTCCGATAGAGACAACTGTGCAAAGCGGAGGGATATGTTTTCACAATAAACTTAGTAACATGGTTTGTTTTGACTTCTTTGCGCGTGTCTGAATTCCATTAACATGTTTCATATCCTGAAATTAATTTTCAGCAAATCTCGCTGCACTGCGCGCGACAGATGCTAGAGCAAGGCATGCCAGATATACGAAACCTACTGCTCCCTAAAGGAAGCCTTTGACATCACGTGCGTCAGGGGACCAGCGCCATCTGATTGGCCGTTAACAGTTGTGCAGGGCGGACCAAAAGCATCGATTTCCCGTCCATTTTACACTTGAAAAACTCGACGCTTTTCCAGACACTTTCTTGACGCTCACCAGTTAATCAATTTTAATGAATTTTTAGTCGTTTTTCCGTCCAATGACCATATACGGAGAAAAACGACGCTTTCGTGTTTGAAGTGTAAACATCGCTAGGTTAAATAATAACAGAAGGATAAAACTGTAGCATCGTGATGGACAGGGAACACTGGATGAGGAAGCCAGCTAACCAGGAAGTTAGGAATGTGGACTGCCTCTGTTAGTATTTTGTAGTGAAGTATTAAAATGTTTAAATACTATTGCATGGACAATCATGAGATCGGTACTAGGTCACGGTACTAGGTCACTAGGAAGTGATATTCAACAAGAAGTGCATATTAAATAAAAACTTATATGTTAGAGGCATCGGACATCTCTTTTTAAAGCCGCGCTGCATATAACATGTAGCATCCATTACCCTTCATCCTCTCAAAGTTATGTCGTTTAACCGTAAGTGTGGGTATATAACTTTTTGTTGAACCAGTTGGCGGCTGAGGATTTTCTATTTGTTGTTTTGCTGTTTACATGCTTTCCAAACTTAAAGTGATGCACTTAAACCGACAAATTTCTAATTGATCCTGTTGGAGGCACATGACAAAGTTGCACTGGTTTGAAAGTAGTATTTTCAATTTGGAATTGATGTTATTGAACCGGAACAATGAATGCATGTCTTTATTTCCTCCATGATTGAGTGAGTTGGTTTTAACGCCGCTTTTAACAGTATTCCAGTTATATTGCGGCGTGTCAGCTTAACGTGGGAGGACAGCCCGAAGTGATGCAGGTCTCAGACGTTTACCATTTCGGTGAAACCCACGAGCACGGGTGGGGTGCTGACAAACCTAGAAACATAATCTGGGCGAACCAGGATCGAAACCACAATCATACGGTTCTGGCGTGTCCAAGCGATGCAACTCTGCACAGCGAACGCGGCGCCTTAGACGACTGGGCCACCCGTGCCCCCTCCTCCATAATTGATTCTGAAGACATTACAAAAGGAAAATAAGTATTTACAATACTTTAGCACATGCAATGAAAGCATGTAATAAAATGCCTATGAAGACAAAAATCATAATATACGCGCAGTAGGGCGTATATGTGTCTAGTACAAAAGATGTTTCTTTAAATAATATATTTAACAGCAAAACGACAGTTATGATTAATTCCCAAGTATCATTATCAGTTTATGCAGTTACGTTGTGAATATCTGCACCAAGAAACAGAGAAAGCATAATCATTGTCGGAAAGCACATCTTTTTTCAGATATACTTTCACATACATTTCTTATGTAGATTAATATCATGTTTATCAATCGATGAAAAATTATTTTTCTATGAGACAAGAAAGATTCACAGTGAATAAAATATGGCATTCTTAGCGATAACAATGTTGATTACTATGGTTACATTCTTTCGACACTATTGGTCTTGATCCATTTTAATGCACTGTTGTGGAACCTCTTAGTGAAAAAAATATAGTGACATAAACTGATTAACAATGTTGAAGAGTTATTACTACACTAACATTTAGTCTCTGAAATCTTATATTACACAATACCCTTCTTGACTCGAATTAAAAAATCCCTATGCTGTGGAATGGAGCTAGCTAGAGCTGGCTAGACTTACTTTTTATGCGATTCTAGATTATTTGTTTTCCATTAAATAAACATTCCACAGTCATGGTGCAGGACAAAGTTATTACCTGTGCACATAGAAAGCTAAAGATGTTTCATCCATAGCTAAATGGGAGATTGCCATCCGGCACAGTTTGCTGGGGACCAAGCTATAGTCTAACAAAGAAACCAAGAATAGTAATATATCGCCGTCACCAAGAAAACTTGTTTGCACTTAAGACGGCAATTCTCTCACAAATATCGTAAAGATATGAGTAGTTTGAAGTGAGGCGGTTGAACATATATCCTCATGACGGTTTGCTATATTATTTACATTAACCTTTGATTGCAAATCATTTTGTTCACGTCGCAAAATTCTCTCTATGCTCTATTGCATCCTGAAACTGAGGGTCCGATGAAACCCTAACTTGCCGCACTAATGATGACATCAGACAGTTTTCAGATGAAGTATATATATTTCACGCCTTAGTTGTAGGATAATCAATTGTCACCATGAGCGTCAACATACCAGGTCAAATATAGCAGGCTATAAATGTTACCTCATATGGCACACATCTCTATATTTTATTTCGAATTATTTTCCAAACGCTTTCATTGCAATGCAATGCGGCCAGATTCAAATATTAGCTAGAAACTTAGTTACTGATAGTGTAAAATAAGCGCCTGCATCTGTAATTGTACAGTGTTTGCAAGAGAAACAGTAGAACAGGATTTAAACGTCTTTTCTTCTTCTCCAGCAAAATCAGTGAACCAGGACGAAGAATATTTCCTGAAGTAAGACGATGATTGAAACGTTTGGCAGACAGGCTTGATGAAGACTATAAATATTATCAGCAAACTAAAAGGAAAAGTGCAGGCATTTGCACAGCTGGTGGTTTATTTACACTCACTGGGTTCCTGGTTGCACCTCCAGTAGCCATAGCAGGTGCAGTGCTCGGACTTGCGGGTGGAGTTTCTGGAGCAGCCATCCATATTACTGAACAGTCTTCTGTCAACGCGCATGTTGACGGGGAATTAGCTCTTGGGGGAATCAAGGACAAAATCGACATCACTGTCCCGGAACGTTTCATGCACAACATGTAAACAATAAACAACAAGTACACAATGAGTGGAATACCTGCTCTGACAACACAAACACAGCGATGAGCGGACCTTCCAGCTCAGGCATACATGAGGTGAGCGGAGCTCCAGCTCACCTCAGGGCGTTTCCTACGAGCGGCACATCCTGCTTGAGGTCATCCCTAGACCAGCACTCGGAATACCAAAGTTGACTAACAGTGTAATTGTAACACATATTATAACATTGCTCTGGACATAGGACTACTGAGGGTGATGAACAATTAAGGCAATAAATGCCATACTATAAATAACAATAATTAACGGGAAGTAATATAGTAGTAGCCCAGGCTGGCTGTCTGACAATATATACAATGAAATGTTGGTGAGGATTAACAACGGTGATTAGCGCCTAATACATAATGACAATTAGGTTAATGGAGACATGCACATGTGACGGCTACAGGGTAATTAGCCTTTGGAATCAAATGTACCTCAGACAATGGTTGTCGTAAATCAGTCGCTATGACACTTCACTAGCTACGCATTTACAACTTGCACAGAACAACCTGAATGATTATGCAGAGGAACTAAATAGGAGAACAGACATTGATAAACGAGAAGCGTGGTAAGGGGTAGACGGAGAGTTGTTACGATTTTGAGTTCCATATTAATAATACATCTTGAATTTGCTAGGGTGGTAACTGGTTCATCCGCATTGCAGATTCTGGTGAATGGGGCGTTAACCGTGGGTTCAATTGGTTTCAACCTATCGGATTTCGTGAAACAGGGAATAAAGGATGTGCATGGATTATCGGCAACTGCAAGATATATACGATCAACCATTTCTGAGCTTGAGGAGATCTGCGGGGCCTAATCGTGGTGATACAAAATACTCTATTATTGACGTGCAATATGTTTCTTAGCGTTGAAATATATTTTCTGTCATTTGTGTTTCAAAGGTTCGGCTGCGTCATGAATGTCTTAAGGAACATCAACATTGCAGAAATGTAAAACTTGGAGAACGCTTTGACTAAAATGACTGATGCTCTGGATGAGGACAGCAAGTACTATGATTCCAAAAAGACCGCGTGACAATCTTTCTTGGTGGAACGATTTTTGTCACTGGAGTAGTGTTATCCCGAATGGCATACATTGATGGAATCGCATCCAAGCTCTCTTGTTTTGGAGCTGGATTGGCTGTGTTATGTGATGCTACTCATGTGTTCACAGTCCACGTTCTGTGGTTTCACAGGATATGCTACACACTCTAACCTCGAGCAATTCAAAGACTCGCTTGAATCGTCTGGGAATAGAAATGGAATCATGAACACTGTAACTGACGAACTAACAGTTTTGAGATCCTTAAGGTAACGTTCAGAAATGAAAGATGTTCTTTTTCTGAAAGGCTGCACCCCTTTTGAGCTAGCTACCAATATCCGTAAGATTTTAGACAATATAAATATCTCGTAAGAACTAATGGTAGAATACTTGCAACACTCTCACATGACATGTTCATTTCATGCTTTTGTAGCATTTTAGTGGGTTTAAATAAAATTTAAATTAAAAAATGAATTTGTTTGTGATTGTGCCTACCTGCATCACTCTCCGTTGCAAGTGATCCAGATGTAAATATATATAAACTGAGAAGCAAAGGAAACTACACCTCTAAGTTGATTTTATCATATGTTTGATTAAAAATTGAAATTATCTTACGCTACCGATATTACTTCCAAAAATAAAATGTACTGGCGCTAAGTCAGCACTCTAGGAATATGTCTAAATGGCTTTATTTTTTTGTAAAATAGAATTTGATTTACAACTTTTTCAAATTAAAAAAATGTTTCCGCATAATACACAGTTGCTATTGCTAATGGATATGTTAGACATCTTGTTTTTGAAAAAGAAGACATTTGCTTTTTGTCGGCACGAATTAACAACATTTCAAACACGGTAGAGGTCAAATAGTTGCAAATTTGTCAAAACTCGGTATACTTTCTTTTGCCCCTCAGTTTATCAGAACACTCAGCACATGATCAATTGTCCTATTTGTGATAGGTTTTACAGATTATAATTGGCACTGAAAAAAATAACAAAGTATATGATCAGTAACTTCGGTCCAATGACTTCAAAACACAATGACAATGGAACCTGATCTACAAATAGGTCAATAATATTTAGATTATGTAGTTCCAGCATAGCAAATCGTTTTCCTATCAAACGTTGGAAGGAATTATCCCTGTTAGTCAGGAGTTGTAGTATGTTAAATGTAATGACTCCGGACAATAGTTTCTCGCACGTTATATATGGAATGTACATTATGGTTTTTATTTTTAGCCACTGCATTATCAAACGACCAAATAGTACGCAAGGTTGTACGACACTGACAGCGTGGATCGTTATAATGTTAACAATCACTGGTTAGCCTGATCCAGATTCGTTTGTTTACAGCCCTGAATACACAATGTCTTGTTGCTGGAGCTGAAGACGCGTGAACAGCCCACACGCCACGAACACATAAAGGATGAACCAACTGTTATGGGAGGTTTGTGTGTGTGTTTGTTGATTGTTTAACGCCCCACTATTCCAGCTATATGAAGGCGGTCAGTAAATAATCAGGACCAGACAATCCAGAGATTGACATCATGCACATCGATGGCAAGGAGTGCAATTAATGTTTTCCGAAAACACATTATGTGGTGACGTTATTGTACATTAAAATTTCAAAAATAGTTCTGTTGGTTTTAGTCAGAAATGGATCTCATACACCACATCCATACAGCATCAAACGTAACTGTCCGATGTACCAAATCTGAACGAGGTGTATTCTTTATCTTCCAACACTCTTTTCATCATCACACACATCACCTTGTATAATAATTACTTGTTCATCACACAAGCCAAATATACCTTTATTATGTAAACACAAAAATACTATTCTGATAAACACTATGTACGATGTACAAACAAGTATAATATTTGCAAGAGATCTCGGTTGAAAACTTTTTTGCAACCAACCCTCCTTCGCTGCACATGAGCGATCTCTCATGGGTCTCCAATCATTTATCTGTGCACAACCGAAACATCATATAAACTCAGCTCGCCATGGAGACTTTATGCAGCCAACACATCATCTTGTACCATATAAACATGTAATAAATGATGTTATCTGGTTCATCACAGCTGAGAACACTTACATTCAAATACTGCGCTATTATATACCCATACAAAGCGGCCTTATACCCATTAAGCCCTTATGTTGCCTTCGCCAACGTTTGGGGAAAGAAAGTTCTCGTTCTCATTGTGCACGGTTAATTTGTTCAGACACCTGACGTGTTAACTGCGCCAACGCTCAAGCCACTTCGTGACTTGGATATCATTTGCAACGATTTACCCTTTTTCAAAGTCCTTACTCCACATCTGTTTCCGATATGACATGCATGCACATGATCACAGCTTTTTTAATTCTCATTGGTAACAAACCCTCGCATCAATTAATAGTCATTACCTTACGTATGGCTCACTAAGCCAAGCTCGGCCTAAATACACGAGATTAAAACAGACTTAATATAACTTTCATAACACAATGATATGACAGAATAGTGAACGTAAAAAGGTTTCAGATTTCTGAAAAAGTGAAGACGTGATTGGCACTTATTGGCTTCCGTATTCGTGAAAATGTCAGTTTGTTGTCAATGATAGTCCCCAGATATTTGTATTCTCTTACAACTTCCATCGTATATCCGTCAAAAGTCACTAGTGGTTTTTTGTAAAATTTCTCTCTTCGAAAGAATAATACTAGTTGTCCCAGGTTTGTCATGTGATGTACCATGTTTTGGCTCAGGCAACAAACTCTTATTTGTTTGTGCAAATTGTGTGAGTGGTGCTACATAGCAGGACATGCTTGTCCTTATGGCTAACACCTAGTGTCATCAATGATTTTCAGTGATCCATTCATATTAGTTCATATTATGATTCAACATGATCATTTCACACCAAATGGGACTTGTTTCGTCGGATAATCGAGACTGGTTCTTCTCTGGCGTTGACGTGTCATATATATCTGTTATTGATACCAAAGGCTGGAGATTGTGCTCTTGGACATATCTGGGATATCCTGGCTACAGCCGACGCCCATTTCCCCTGCTTTGTTTGGTAGAGCCCTTAATGTAAACATTACTCTTAATGTAAACATTTAGACATTGAGAGTGCGTATCAACTCTTATTGTTGAATTAATTTTACATAGGCTAACCCTCAATGTAAAAATGTTTACATGAAATGTTGCAAATTAACCCTCACTGTAATTATTTTTACAATAAGGGTTGAAGTGACAGATAATATATTTTTTATTTAGAGTTATCACTATAAAATAATATTTATCGACAATCGTGAAACTTCACAGGATCATTACAAATTGTCTGTATGTCTCTAGTTGTCTCTACAACAACCATCTGGTTGCTGTATGCAGGTTATATATAAGGGTTATGACTTCCGATCATTTTAAACGATTTCTATCTAAGTAGTACAAAGGTGTATCTTATGATACTCAACAAGGTAATCTGATTTCCGCTGCCATCTGAATAACCTAAAACGACGAGTCGGAGTCCTCTGATTGGTTGAAATGTAGATACTATCCGATTTCGATCAAAATGTAAATGTGTCACCCCCGACCACAATCCCATAGGTTCTGAGAACGTTAGTTACTATGGTAACGGAATGGAGGCCTCTGAATGGATTTTATATTGAAACACTTTCATTTGTTAAGGTATTTAGGTTTTGGGCTGATAACCTATAACAAACAGACGTCATTAGTAAAGTGTTTTAAGCTTACATTTCAATCACCATACATTGTACATGTACAGCCATGTCTGTTAATATCAATCGCAATACCGCACTGAACCTTCCAACCTTTACACTCTTATTTAAACTATTTGTCATATACATTTTTAATATATTTTATGATTCGTTGAGTGGGTATGTTTATATACCACGTAAGGACATATTCCTGAAATATCACTACGGGGGACACAAGATTACATGTTC